CGCGCTCCCGGCTCACCCCGGGGAGGCGCCGAGGTGGAGTTGCCGGTGCTGGCTTGACTCCAGGGCTTGACTCCCAACCGGCCTCCGCCCTCATCACGCGCGTCTGTTCATTTCGCTGAGTGTCGGGTAAGGCTCTACCGGCTTCGTTTTCCCTCCTGGCGTCCGTGGGAGGGGCAGGTCCCGGGCACAGGTCTGGTCAGCGTGTGCTGGGGACACCTGTGTGGCTCTCACAGGCGCTTAGCTCTCCCAGTGTGAGGGGCCACCTGGCCGCCCATCCCCGCACGTCCATTCTGAGTGTGTTAAAATGACAAAGCCAAGCCACGAAATGTCGGGTGGACGACCGTTCCTTCACGCCACGGAGATGCCAGCCTGTTTGGGTCCCGGAAGTTCTAGGAAGAAGTGGCTTCCAGTGGATCTTTGGTTTATGTTCTTGGTGTTTGGGGTCAAAGTGCAAAGACACGTGACATTCGAACACCCCCATCCTAGTTGTTTGAGAAGGAGCTCTGGACACAGGGCCAGGGTTCTGGGCTTGGACTTTGTTTCCTGCTGTCCAGGGTGTATTTACTCTGGTGCAAACGACCAGACGAAGCAACAGAGGAGAAATGAACAGAGGCTGGGACCTGAGCTGGGTGCAGGCGCTGGGCTCCAGGACGCCCACCTGCTCCCGTGGGCACTGTGCTCAGAGCCTCCCAGGAGGGCAGGCGCTCCACGCTTCACCAGAGTCCACAGGCCTGGGACGTGCTCAAGGTCCTGCCTTCTTGGCGCCCTGTCCCCCCCCGCTCCAAGTTCTGCACTCAGACCTGAGCCCCGGAAGCGGGAAGAGTCACCCTCGGGGGGAGGTGGGGCTGGGGTGTCCTGGAGATGGATACCTCACACCCCAGCAAAGGCACCAAGTGCCCCCCCCCAGTTTTCCAAACAGGAAAGACTAACGTGACCACAGAGCTCGAAGCCAGCCGTCTGCTCAGGTTTGAGGGGCGGAAATCAGAGAGGGGCTGCTAGGCACGAAGGAAGCGCCCAGGGAGGATCAGGGCTCGGACGCCATGCCCAGCTGACCTGCCTGGGATCACACAGCAAGCACCTCGTCTGCCTGGGGTTTAAGGACCAAACTGTCCAACGGAGTCAGGGGCTCTGCTGCCAAGACATTGGGTCCACGAGCACCGGGATGGGGTTGTTGGCTCCGTGGGTGAGGGCGTGTGGGGGTTGCGGCTCTCCCCGGGGTCTCGCAGTTCCCGTGTCCCCCAGGCCCGTTGCAGCCCCCGGAGCAAACAGCTGGGACGCTGGGTTGCAGACTTGGCAGCCAGTCTGTGCTGACTGGAGCCCGGCCACGGGTGCCCAGAACATGGAGACAGCCTTCAACCCCACGCAGGACCCGGGGTGGGACACATGGGGCATCAGAGTTTCCCCTGACTGTTCACACCAGTGTCGCCCAGCCCCTGTCCGCCTGCCAGGGCTTTTCATCTTGCCCAGAGCCAGGAGCTGATGAAAAATATTAAACTCCAAGGCCAACAATTTTGCTTTTATCCACAAAAATGTCTTTATCCCTCACCCCAGCCACAAAGAATGTGAATAATTCACCTCCTGGTCTGCTGGTGGCTGCCAGGCCCCCCCCATCTCCAGGACCACTCCCAGACCCTGCACGCCGCGTGCATCCACGTGTGGCCCCCAGCCCCCAGGGCCCCCCACCTGGGGACACAGCCCCTGCCCCTCTGTCTGCGAAGTGACCCACTCTCTCCTCATCCCAGACTGAGGCAGGTAGTGGGAGGCGTCAGGAAGGCTGCTAACGGGGACAGGGTTCCCTCGCGGCCCAAGGAGACGTTCTGGAACCAGTGGTGACAGATGCACTGAAACCGCTGA